TGTGATCCAAAACACAATAATAAAACAAATTCAATTTGTTAGTGATCCAAACTGATTAATAACAATAGATGATATAATCATATTTTACAATCTAATGAAGATATTAACAATATATTGATTAAAAACAAGAGAATTTCTCTATGATCAATTGACAATTCTTGTGAAATTGACTAAGTGATAAATCTAGGCAAAACCAAAACTCACGGCAGATGCATGATAGTAGGATTTGAGCACACTGGCAAAATGCAAAACCAAATCTCACGGTATAAGACTAAGGCCTATAAACCTGCTACCAAACTTAAAGGCAAATAATAGCAGGATTTGAGCACATCGGCAAAATGCAAAACGAAATCTGAGGGCAAATGATCCGGCCTAAAATGCTGCTACCAAAAAGCCCCTTAAATGTTGATCATTTTTCTGATTTTAGGGATTACACTAACAAGGTAAGAAGAAGAATGACAAGAAAAGGGAGAAGATCGAAGAAGAATACAAAGGAAAAGAAGAAGAATATGATGAAGAAGGGGAAGAGACTCACAGTGAAGAAAGGTCGGCCATAGGTGCCTTTCGCGTGAGGAGAATACTGATCGAGCAAAATGCGAGCGGGATGTGCGCAATGCTCCTCTCCGCCAAGACGCGCTCCGTCGTTTCGCTCCGCTGGAGTTGCACGCATAAAAGCATAGACAGATCGGGATTTTGTTCTCGCGCGCAGAAATAGAATTAGGGCTTTCTTTTAATTTGCGGCGATTTAAACATGGTGCTACGGCACCGGTTTTAACCGGTGCAAGAATTAGTTTTTAGCATCGGTTCTATTACCGCTGCTACCAACTGATGCTAAAAAGACAACTTTTTAGTAGCGTTCTCTTCTTTATTCAACCCCAAAGAAAGTCAGAAGAATAGATTTACTCATTGAAGACTGCACGTATAACCATTCTCTCCAACCCTCGACCCATTCCCCTGTCTCTCGTGCGACAATCTACGTGCAAGACCTCACGCCCAAACTCTTCCTTGCCTATGATCGCCTCCACCATGCTCTAATGACAATTTGTTGGATTTTTTCTTAAGGAGAAGTGGGTTATTGATCTTTCTTGGATTTAGAGAGTGAGAGAGAAAAAATAGAAAGGAATGAAGGGAGAAAATAGAACTCGGTCTTATTTCCTTTTCCCCACATACAAACTTGACAAATGAAATATATATAGACATTGGTATGGTGTCTTGAGGATTAACTAACTACAATTGGACCAAATACTAACAGTTCAGGATTAGTGGTGTTATATATTTGATTATTTAGGTTTAAAAATGATATTCACGCTCTGAACTCTACACCTATAATGACATTAGATATTGCATTATCTGTTTTGAAAATTGATTGAATATTGTTAAAACCTTTATATAATATTATTCAAACAATGACAATAATTTTTTTTTTAATATTGATCAAACTTTATTTGAACCTAGTTCATTGGTTTGAGGCTTGTTCATATTTTCGAATAAAATTTAAATAATGTTTAAACAAAGTTCAAAGATGTTTCAATTAATGTTTGAACATGAGTCGAACATAATTTGAACAAGGCTTGATCAAGGTTGGAACCTTATTTAAACAAGGTTTAAACAGGGTTCAATCAATATGCAAACACATTCAATTAATGTTTGAACATGTTTTAAATATGATTCATCAAAGATTCGATCATTGGTGAAATTAGGTCCGAGTAAAGTTCAATCATTATTCAAACTGTATTATGTTGTTGGTGCACTATGTATGCAAATGTTTACTTTAATCATACTTGTAAATAGGCATTACACTATTAAGTCATGTACAGAGCTCGTGCTGTGATGGATAAAATAATTAGACAATTTGATTATAAAGATCTCATTGTTTCAACATTAGAGTCATGAAAATCACATTTAGCATTGCTAAAATGTTCATTGATCACTATTTAGCAAATGTGTTGCTAAAGATCAATATAAATTGAATTTTGCCACTTGTTTTTGTTTGGATCTTTTTTTATAAATAATTTTGATTATTCTCCAATTTTTAGCCTGGTCATCTTTAGTCATAATCAAAATTTTAAAATATGCTTGCTCTTGCAATTACCTCAATGGTTGCAACAATTATTTTAGGGTTACAACAAAATTTTCATTTTCATTATTCATAATGGCATGAACATATCGACTCACTACATATCTTTCTTGATGAAAATTATTTGAATTCTTATGATCTTTAAGAGCATGCCCATACACTTTTTTATGTGTGATTTGTATTGGTTTATAATGACTATTATCTTTAAGATATTTAGTTATAATATGTCTTTTTGTGTTATGTACATTATGTATATCTCTACAACATGCACTCGATTTTGTTAAGATGGTTTATTATATCTCTTGTATTGCATCGTGTTATTTAGCTTAAAGTTTGTCATTATAGCTGTTGTGATTGATGTCACTTGCTATGCTAGCATTGCAATGTGTTATGTTAAAGCACTTAAAATACACTATGTTGTGTCTATTGTAGATAAATCGTGCTTGAGCCTGGATCAAACAGGGTTCGAGCAATGATTGAATCATGTTCGATCAATGCTTGAACTTTTTTTAAATAGGGTTCAACATGAACCAAATTTTAATTAATTCTTGTTCGAAATACGATTGAACATTGCTCGAAATTGTTTGAGTATGGTTTGGACCATATTCTAATAATATTTAAGGAGATTCGAATCTTGCTCGAACTTGTCTCAAATCTTTTTTTAACCTATATAGTTTAAGGAAAACTTTAAATAAGTAGCATGCATGCATAAGCAAGAGTATTTTTGGCTGAAACAAATTTCCGTACATATTTTCTAAAGAAAATAATAAAATGACATATTTTTTCAATTATGCCAGAATGTAAAATTAAATTTCACTTTAATTAATGTGTAAACATTTAATAGTTGTTGTACATAACTTTTTATGTTGAATATATATATATATATGTGTGTGTGTGTGTGTGTGTGTGTGTGAGATTTATTTATAATAATTTTAAAATCATTTTATTGATGTCCCTATTAACATACTTTTCTCATTAATGTCCCCAAAAAAGACATATTTTCCTCATTCTTGTAAACAAACTTAGGAGCACAAAAGATGAGACATTGAAACACTATTAATGAATGGTAATTAGTAAATAGATACACAAATTTTGCACTAAAAAGTTTATTTAAAAAATATTAATAAAGCTGTTCCAAACGGAGCCTAAATTGAGAATAAATTTATAATAAAAAACTTATAGGCAAATGTTAAAATCTTTAGATTAGTTTTGAACCAAAGGCATGCTAATGAATGAAAGGCTTGTAAAGATAATGAAAGAAAACTTTTTTATTTGATCTCATTGATCATTAAGTATTTTTGTTATGATTTGAAATTAATTAGAGCCCTTAATTAATGTTTACTAGCTCTCAAATATATTATGTGTGCTTGATTGCAACTCATTCGAAGTTAGATCATATTATTTTGATGCCAACAACTGACGAGCACAAGATGTGAGTGTTTGCGACGGCTGGCCAACATCATTTTTACCCTAGCCGTATATTTAGAATTTGTTCAAAACAAATAAATTCTAAATATACTCAAATTGAACTAGATTGCCATTTTCAAATGCAAAATACATTGCATTTGAAACATAGCCATCGAAAACCTAAAATCTCAAAATGCCACCTCGGCAACTATGTGTACCTAACCGACCATTTGTCACAGGGACACCATCATCATTTTGTCGTCTCTGCCTCATACAATATTTAATAAAAAAATATTTATCTCTAATATCAAATATATTTTTATTTTATATTAAAATAAAAATAAAATAAAATAAATAATTTAAACATTAAAACTAGAAAGGGATCCCAAACAACCCTTAAATCTAGGATTTAAGGCAAAACAAAATAGAAACAGCATTTAAGATTAAATATATAGAATTTAAAATAGAAATCAGTATTATCTAAACAAGATTTAGCAAAAATCCCGCCTACATCCTGCGTAAATTCTGCCACCGAACAGCCCCAGAAATCTCTCCCATCTAACTGGCAGGCAGGCAGGCAGGCACCCGTCTGCAACTAATAATTGTTAGGAGTGAAATAAGGGCCGCATTCTTATTTAGGTATTTATTTAAAAACAATAATTCAGATATATTGAGAGAATTTTGATTAGTTGGCCTCCAATTTATTAAGATTTTATTTGGAAATTTCCCAAAAAAAAAAAATTATTTGGAAATAACTTTCTTACTATTTTTATTTTTTAGATAATATGATTTTTATTTGGCCACTAATTTTCCGCTTCTTTAAAAAAAATTATAATAGGAAGCTATTTTTTGCAAAAGGATTAGAAAATTATCTTCTATGTAGCAACTTTATAAATAATAAGAAAGCCGTCCAAAATGAAGTCTAAGACTGAGATGGCTTTCTTCTTGCTTCTTAAAGGTACTATTTAGTTAAAAAATTAAAAAATTTATACTAAAAAGTCGTGATAAGAAGCAGTAATAAAGCCGTCCCAAACAAAGCCTAAGTCTATGCTTGGGATGACTTTTTTATTGCTTCTTAGAACGGAGTTCTAGTAATTTTTGTACTAAAAAAAAAAAAAAAAAAAAAAAACCCGACCTAAATGAAGCCTAAATTTAGGATTAGTTTAACACTGTTACATATTTGGTAAAAGTGATTGTAAAATTATTATGGAAAAAAAATAAATTTTTTAAATTATTATAAGAATATGTTTTTTTCGCATAATTTTAAAAGAAAAATAATGAAAAAAATAGTAGAAAATTAAAAATTGAGATTGCAATTAAAAAAATAAAATAATAAAAAGTTATCCAAATAAAATCTTAATTTTAAAAAATATGAATTATATATAATATATATCTTAAAATAAGTTTAATAATTGTAAGTCAATTTTAATCAAATTCCTCTCATTATTTTCACACAAATTTTTTTATTTATTTAAATACGAAGAGATATATAAAATGTGTATCTAATGCCTCGCAACGTCGCTTCTCTCTCTTTAACTCTCTCTTTCTCTCTCTATCTGGATATGAAGCTCTCTTTGTATGGAAGTTGGAACAAAGTACTCGTATCAATAAAAAGTGCAGCAGAGCCCGAAGACTTTCGCGGGTGTTGAAGAGGATGAATATCTGGAGCTCACTCTCGACCTAACCTCGCCATTCGTTATCGACCTCCTCAGGTTTCTTGCCTTCTTCTTCTTCTTCTTCTTCCACGGTTAGGATTCCGATTATCCGAAGATGAAAACCAGCGAGCAGGACTACGGAATTTTCTCCGAGCTATGCTCTTTGCTCTTTTCTGCACTCCGATCTCCAATGATCTCAATCCCCTTCGCGGACACGGACGCACCGTCTCCTACGGCGCGATCAAGGCGGCCGATTATTCCGGTGGCGTGGGGAAGGTTGCCGCCTATTTCGCCGGCGGGAGTGGTATTGATGTTTCTTGGAATATCGCTGGCGCTGATGTTGTGCGGATCGTTGACGTTCTTTATAGGGTTCATGATGATGCCCTGGGTGCTGGGTATGATGTTTTTGCTTTACTTTTTGGGCATCATTTCGTTCTTCTCCGGATTGTGTAAGGCCGTCCTAATTAGCCAGACGCCCTCCCCTGATCCGCTGAAGACGTGCCAGAACGAGATTAATAGTAAGTTTATTTTATTCCAGGATATTTATTAAATCTTGAATGCATCGTGCGAAAATTTTAAATTTGGAGTATGTTTGACTCTATGAAGAAGGGTTTTATTTTTATTTTTTGTGCGGATCTCTGATTGCTGTTTCATCTCTGAACCTAATAATTTCACGTATGAAGAAATTATTTGATAGGAGGCTGTGCCTGTTGGTTGAAGTTTTTCGGGCTTTTTTAGAGACTTGGAGCAAATTTAATCTTGCACTCACGTATAAGGGCACACACCCGTATAGGCTAACCCATGACCAATGGAACTATGGTGGAGCCTGCCAACACTTGGCTAAGATAAGCTGCGTTTTCTTTGTTGAAGTTAGGATTGGGGCTCACTGTGTAATAAATAGGACCATAGTTGCCCATCATTTTGAACTAGGAGAATATCTGGGGCTCTGTTTTTTCAAATTTGAGCAACGGAATTGCAAGGATTTTTCTTTTTTAAATAGACTGGGATTGTGATCCACCTCCCTTTTCCTTGAAACAGCGATAAGATTGAACCTGGACCATATAAACTATTTCGGCCAACAGCCAAAACCAGAAGTGTTTAAAAATATATGATTATGTACATGAGTTATCAGGTTACTGATAACAGAGAAGCAGTACAATTTCATATAGTAGAAAAGAGGATCGCCAGATAAGTGTAGTTCCATGAAAAAGCAATTTGAGTAGTTTTTGTTTAAGTGAACACCTAATTCAGCATCAATTTTATCGTATGTTTCTATACCCTTCCAGGGCTGCCCTAGATTGTGCTAGAGTTTCTGCTGTTATTCAAATCAATGGGGTTTTTCCGTTTATACATGGTTTAGATTAAAATGGATGAATTTTGTAAATAAACTTGGAGAATTGCCTTGATATCTACGAAAAGCATCTCTTGTATCAAAGATGTGCAAGATCACCTAGTTATATATGCCAAGTATGTCCTCGATATCTATTTGGTTGAAAAAAATTAGGTTGTTATTGAGAGGTATAGGACATACTTGTGGCTCATATAGAAGAGATGCTCTTCGGATTTGGTATTCATGTAAAGCTATTAAATCATTGAAGCAAATTTGTGCTATTTTAGTTTAAGAACATTCAAAGATATATAAGTCTTTGTTTCGGTGAATTAATGCATTTTACTCTAATCCAAATTCAGTTCAAAAGCATGAGAAAGAACCATTGAAGAGCATCACTTGTATCAAAGATGAGCAAAAATGTGCAAAACTAATACCCCATTTGTTGTAAAAAGATGCAAGTACATAAAAATCCTATAGAAGCTATATAGGATAATATAAAGCTCTAAATTCGAACTTTTGTTATGATATAGCCTATTACTGTCACTTCTAAGCGAAGCATTAGTTATTATGGCTCCATACTTATAAAAACTATTCGTTGGCACTTTGCACTTCTTGAAGGAATGATCAAGAGAACATCTATGAACTAGATGCGCCCCATCATATTAGTAATAAGATATAATTTTTGAGATAGTGTTTTGGGCCTAGAAGCATCCTTTTTTTAAGTAGGGGTGGGGGGATGATCATCTCCAAACCTTAAAAAAATGATCGGAAGATTTTTCTATGGCATTCCTTGATTCATATTCCTCAATAGTCTTAAGGCCTTTAGCTTCCTCCACAAAATGGAACAACTATTGTGTTCCATTTATTTAAGTTTTCCAAAATAATGTAACTTTATAGTAACAACTCATACTTAACTAGTGCAACAATTAATATATCTACTAACCCATTCAAGCTGCACATCTTTAATTGTCTAATTATGCGTCTCTGTTGATTTGTTGCACCATGTCACTATTGGGAATCCTCTAAAATGGCGTCTATTGTAAAATCATGTAATGTTTCAACTAGCTATAATTGTATAGATGAAAACCACAACACATTGAGTAGTGTTTCTCTTATTTTTCTTTATTCTCTGCTCTTCATGTCTTTTCTTTCTTCCATGTTCTTTCTCTCTTTTCTTTTACATTTTATACAACTCTTCTCAATGAGCATTCTACCTAGTCTTTATGGTATTAGAGCGAAGCTAATCTCATCTATTGTTGCATCAACCCCTTGTCCCCATGAGCAAGTTGGATAGTTTACGTTCTATGTTGGGGATGAGGAGTAAACACCACTATGATGAAACAAGCAAGAAAGTAAAAACTGAGGAAAGTAAAGGATATCAGGATTTAACGTGAAAAAACCCAAATATGGTAGGCCACTTTCCTTGCCCGACATGCCTTCCATAATTGTTGGCCCCCCTATCACCTTCACCAAAAATTCTTTCATTGCTTTACCCCCATCCGAAAACCTAATCCGCCCCTTATCAGAGCCCTAGGAGGTGGCTCTTGATGAAAGAAAATATCCTCATCGAACTCCTTCCATCTGATCTCCTTTCCCTTTGATTCATCCAAGGGAACCCCAGTCAAATCTTGGTTAGGGTTTGCAATTGGAACTGCTAGTGAAATTTTTTTTGCATCTCCACCAACCCTCCAAATCGGCTTTCCATCCAATTCTCCATGGTTGGAAATTTTCCTTCGACGGTTGAGAACTTATCTTCCATACCATATTTGATTTGTTCCGCTTCGCCTTCCAATGCATCCATCTTCATTGCTGTCATATCTCCAAAACCTCGCTTTGATACCAATTTGATGCGTCTTGGAAGTAAAAACAACAAGTGGACAAGAAGAAAATTGCATGAACCAAAGATTATGACTATTTTTTCATTCTCTCTTCAAAAATAATGAAAGATACAAGTGTTCTACTATCCGATGGTATATCAACTCTGCCACAAATTTTAGCCGTTGCTAGAAAACTCACAAGAAATCCTAAAAATTCCACTCAGCAATAGCATAACCCTAACCCTAGACAAACTCCCCCTTAAATAGCCCTAACACATAATAAACACAATTAAACCCTTCCCTTCCTAAACAAATTGAAACATTTCTAAACAGTTTCCCCTTGATTTCTCCTCTTACATAATGCATATCAGCTCTCTTAGGCCCCACAAGGCTGGCCAAAGTACCCTTGGCTCTCTTCTTGATTCCACCCAACCTCTTGGCGGGCTCAGCTCCTGCTGGACCAGTTTGCTGGGCTGGCCTGGATAGGCCTGGTTGGTCTGGTCTGGGCCACCCTGGCTGGGCTGGGCTAGGCCACCTCCTCTGCCCCTCTTTCCATATCTTCTGCCATATCAGAGCTCTATATTGTACTTTGATGTAGATAAACATTTACTGATCTCTACTATACCAGATATCCACCTATCATTTCTGCAACCACGTGTAATCCATGTAAGGTGGAGATCAAGTGATTCCATAGTACTGTTATAATTGGTTTATTATGCCAAAAACTACTAGGATAGAATAAAAATCAACGTGGCTGCCTTCAATGGATGAATATATTGGTTACTTAGGTGGAACATCTGTAAGACAAATTAAGGACAACAGTATAATAAATTTTGGAATTTGACAGAGACTAAAGGTAGGAGCCGATTATTGATAAAATGGGAATTTTAAGTTTGATATATGTCAAAGCTTGACTGGAAAATTTGTGAGGAGAAGTATTTGGAAGTATGGGAAGTGGCACTTCTGGTCAAAGGGATCATTACAAGAATGCTGAGATAGCATTTGCTTTTTCGAAGGAGAATAAGATAGCACCACTGAGATGATGGACCTTCATTGGGTCAGTTTAAAGGGTTAAGCCTTGAGCGAAACTGGGCCGGGCCACTTGACTCCTTTCCTTTTAGATTTTCTTTTAACTTTCTTAAAGCATGTTTATTATATCTTGTCACCATTGGATGTAGACAAAATTCTACTCCTATTACAGCTAAAGCTTGTATCCATATCATCTACCAAAGAAGAGATGCAGATCAATTTCTTGTCATAGTAATGTTCCAAGCAAAATTTACTATTTTCAGATAAAATTACCTTGATTATTTTTCACAATGTCATCTTGGGGCTTTCATTAGTTGGCAGATGGTATTTGTTACCTAGAAAATTCATATAGCCAGCCAATTCATACCAAATCTAAACAAAACATTTTGTATGCTTGCATAGGGTATTTCTTTCATACATTAATCAGGTTGGTTTTAGACCTGATATCTTCCCTATGCGTTATTTGTAATAAGCTGCAAGTCCTTTCATTTTAAAAAATCATAATCAAGTCACACACTTTCATCATCTTTCACTGGAATGAAATATCATTTTTGGTGCACTGAAAGCTTTATAGAAAGCAACCGACTATATTGATGTGGCTAAATATACACCACAACCAAATTACAAGAATGGCAGCGATAGTACTGGAAGATGTGGTCCTTGCTTGCTGACTTTGTTAAAGCTCTAGCTAATACTTGCCATCTTTTTTGTATGTAGGCCACACCACCTCCTAGCTTCCTATTGTGTAAGATACGAAGAATAGTATACTTGTGTTGATCCACTGATGGTTATTTGTTCTCAAACCAGCTACAGTATAGTAGGTCTTCCAGCTCTTCATCTGTTTCATATCATTTACTTCAAATTTTTTACATTGTCTGTCTCAGATTTCTTGTAGAGATTTAGGCTTCGTTTGGGACGACTTTCTTAATGCTTCTTAAAGTAACTTTTGAAATTGCTTTAAGAAGCATTCAGAAAGTCATCCCAAAGGAAGCCTTTATTTCCTTGCTGAAGCCTATCATTGTGTGAAATATTAAAATAAGACAGTATTGTTTGTATTTATACTGCAGCTGGGGCAATTGTTGTGTATGTTTGATGTTGGCTGGGAGAGTAAATTGTAGGATTTGGACTATGTATTGAGCAGTTGTGCTGTTGTATTTACATGTTGGGTCTCATTTTGTCAAAGCAATGAGGGGATGTTATAATAATGTTTTAAGGTTCATTGTTTGTCATTTGGTATTTATTCACATACAATGTAGATAGAGTTAATTACATATACAGATAACATTAATAGTGATTGTTTTGATTGGATTATCTCAACTGATTTCCCCAATTTCTCAGCTAAATTCTCTATCTCATGATGTAAAATCAATCTTGAATGGTACCAAAATTATGGAGGTTGTCCTCATTATTCTATGAATTCTCAGCCTCTTTGCTTTCTTATATTCCATCACCTTCCATGTGTCTTGGGCTTCGTTTGTGACGATTATTTTGTTGCTTATTAAAGCAGCTTTTTTAACAAAAAAAAAATTAACTTTTGTATTAAAAAGCTGCTTTAAGAAGCAGCAAGAACGTTATCCCAAACGAAGCCTTGATCCCATCTCATTGTTGCTCGGAGTGTAGCAAGTCTCGTATGATTTGGGTCTTGGCTGACTAGTTCAAATCTCAGCTATTAATTATGAGGTCATGTGTTCGATCTCTACCCATCGTTTTATACCATATTTCTTTAAAAATGTTTTATTTGTGTATTTCTATTTGGCTTTTCTATCTATCAAATATTTATCTCATTCAATGATCTTCTTAAAATCTTTTAATCGGTTTTGTTCCTCTTTATAAAATATATGAGATATATTTTTATCCATGAAAAAAAAAGGTGTGGTCAGTGCCATGTTACGTAGGCCACGTGTTTAAAGTGCTTGATTTGAGTTCAGTTAGAGTTAGATCGAATAAATTGAGATATTGATGGATTCTTCCAATTAAGATGCTCATTTCGACAATAAATTTGTTGAAATTAGAGTTTGGATAGTCGAGAATTTATTTGTAAGTTTTGATTTTAAATTTTGACACTAAGTTTGGCTGAAGTAAATTTTTTTCAAATGTGTTATTTGTCCTATGTATTTTGAAAGTTGAAGTTTGCATTATTTAAAAATATATATTAAATCTTCAAAAGAAATTATGACGTAAAATTATAATTTTAAAAAAAATTTTGAGGCATGACAACTTCGCGGACTTCAATATGTGATAAAGCAAAGTTTTGTAAACATATAGATTGGAACAATTTATTGAAAAAAAATAATTGCTTTGAATTCTTCAAAATTTCTTGAATTTAATTATATAAGCTTTATTGTGTTTAAAATAAATCTGAAATGTTAAAAAATAATTTCAAATAATGAAAAAAAGGTTGGAATAGACCACTACACCCCTAAAATTGGAACTTTTATTTGGTCCGGTGAACGTACGTAGAGCTACGTTCGACCGGCACTAAGATCGCAGCGACAAAACGAGAAATACCGAGCAAATACCGAGCAATATCAACAATAACGAAAAATATCATTATGTGAAGACAAAATACCGAGCAATACCGAGTAATACCAAAAAATACCGAGTTTTTTTAGAAAAACTCGGTATTTTTTGGTATACCTCTGTATTGCTCGGTATTGCTCGGTATTACTCGGTATTGGTCTTCACAGAGCGGTATACCTCGTTATTACCAAACAATACCTAGCAATACCGATCAAAAATCGAGCAAAAACTGAGTAATAATCCTCTGACCGAACGTAGATCTACGTCCGGTCAGAGGACATAATAAAAGTTCATAAAATTGAGTTTAGATTAGGCCTACTGGTCACCACCGATGCTAGCGCGGGCTTCTCTTAATTGAGGTACCTTTTTAATTTTTAATTTTTAAATTTTTCCCTTTTTTATTTTTCTATTTTTTTAATATTTTTATTTTCCATTTTTTAATTTTTCTTTCTTTTTAATATTATTTTAAAAAAGCATTTTTATGACTTTCTCCTCCACTTTAAGTATAAATACCCCCATACAAGAGTTTCCACTTCGACTTATGTCATATCCAATTCTCTCTAAAGGGAGATTTTTCTCCATCTTATAAAGGCAGTGCATAATTTCCTATTTGCATGCTTTAGTAAAATACTATCTTACATAAATGATATATATATCCAGCATTATATACTCTACTTCTCATTCACCATGAGTAATGAGTAATGAATTATCTTTCATTAGATAAATTATTCTAAGGAGACTGGATGCAAAATGTTAGGGGTGTCAATATATGACGCGACCCGAAAATTCGACTCGAACCTGACCCGAGTTTTTCTGGTTAGGGTCAATTTGAGCCCGAAACGGGTCGGGTTCTGATTGCATTTTTCTGACTTGTTTTAAATTTCGGGTCGGGTTCAGGTCTACCCGGAAACCCGACAATGACCCGGCAATGACCTGCTTCGACCCATGCTGTCCAGTGTCCACGCGTGATCGTGATTCGCGTCTAACGAAATAGGGATTTTATTTAGCCATTTAGGGCGCATTTCGGGCAGTCACGTTCATTTCAGCTTTTTGAGACTTCCGTCTTCGTCTCTTCTCCTCTTAGACCGCCGAATCTAGAGTGTTCTCGACTGATATCATAGTGCTTCCTAGCTTCCTACCTCCTTCACGGAGCTTCTCTCCTAGTCGGTGTCGTCGTCTCCTTGATTCCTCTATTAGTTTATTTTAAATCTCCTTCATGTTCGAACCTTTTCTCCTCCTTGCCATTTCATGCACTTTTTTATTTTTATTTGTTGTGCTAATTACTTACTATTATTTTAGAGTTATCTTGGTTGAAGTATCATCGTTCTTCGATTATTCCTTTTGATTTAAGCTGTTATGCAATTTTGCTTTTGATTTGCCGATTAGGGCATAACATTTAGCGATATTTTATGTTTGATTTGTTAGGGGTTTGTATAATTTTGGGTTATTTGGTCATTTAAGCATGTTATAAGCTTGTAAGGTTGTTGAAGGATTTAGCCCTAACTGAAATAAAGTAATAAATGGCCTCATGTTGAACTGTTGAATGATTTTTTGGGTAGTATGGCACTTTGGCCGGTCAGTTTAACTATTGCTGGCTTATTGGTTATTGTTGGTGCTGTCTATTGCAATTTTCAGTCTTTGGACGCTGATTCAGTGATGTTAGTCTGTTGCATACTTACATTGAAAGCATGTAAATCATGTAGTATGCTGGATGCACCTGCAAGAAGCTGGTATTCGCATTTATATCTTTCAAATTTAATAATTTAGGATGTTTTTTAGCTCTTTCATATTGAATTATTTATGATATTTGACTATTGATTTTTTGCTAAATGCTAAAATTGCTTGTGACTTGTGAGTTGTGAGTAAGTTTTGCCTTAGAGGAGATTAATGACTTGGTCCATTTGGAGTTTCCTGCTAGTTTTGGAGTTTATATAATCTCATCCAGTCATCTGGCTGCTGTTTTGGAGTTTGGACTTTGGAACATAAATGTTCTTTCTAATTTCATAAAACCTGCTGTTTTGGATTTTGGATCAATGGTGCTATTTTGGGTTTTATATCAAACCTACAAATATTTATGTCTTTGTGACATCTGTTGTTTTCCCTGTTTTGCTGAATTTGGATCAGTCTCATGCATGACTGATGCCTGATTGGCTCAATTCATATATCCTGCTGGTTTGTTATTTGATGTTTTGGAGAAGTGAAAGCTGCTCTCAAAATTCATTATTTCATATATTTTTTATTTTAAATATGAAGAGAATAAGCGATGATGATATACCTTCTAAAATGAATGTGGGAATATATGTGTAAGTGTTAATGTGATATATTACAACTAGGAGGCATTTGTATTCACTTCAAAAAAACAGATACTATCTAATTAAGTGAACATATACTAAGTGAGTACAAACTGTCTCCTTGGATGGTAATATGCTAACATTTATTAAACTTACGCTGTTACACATTATGCGATTAATGATTTGGATGGTTTAATCTGAGCAATGTATTATATAATAAATACTTAGAATTTTATACTTGTTTAACTAGTTTTATTGCAGTTTAATCTATAAGGCGATAGGTGATTGATCATTGAAGACAGATTGTCAAATTCAAACATTCTTGCAGCAGTCGAGTCCGAGCAATTGATGCTTCTATATTCACATTTGTTGTAAACTTTTTGCAGTTTACATGTTATTCTGTGCGGACCCAAACCCGACTCGAAACTTATTTTTGACAGCCCTACAAAATGTCGTTCGGAGATCAACCAGAATGTGTCACGTCAGCCGTATCGAGACACGGTATTGAGCGAAGGGGTGAAGTGACGCATTATGGTTGGTCTGCGAACGAGGTTTGGAGTCCGCACATAATAACTAATCCTTGCATTGGCAAAGTTGTAATCCTTAATGTGTGGTCCTTCTCCATCCAAACTTTCATTGCCAAAAGAATCCCAATTGATTCTTATTTGGTGATTTTGCTTCTTAGAAAATATTATCTTACTTATTATCCACCATTAGGATATTTTATAGTTTATTAGATGTGAGTTTACGAACAGATTTATTATTTTCCCCTATCCTAATATTGATTTGTTTAGAGATATAACAATTGCTATCAAATTGAGTGTCTTCTTCAGAAATTGTGCTGTGATATTGATACAATAACATTTGGCAAGAATATATAGATCTATATGTGATGCTCAAAATCACATCACTTATATAAGTAAATGATTTGTCCTTCAAACAATAGATCTTTTAAAGCTAGCTCAATGATTTTTCTTAATGAAGAATGATTGGGATCTTTTTTGAAAAATGAAGAAGACTGAGGCCTCATTTGAAACGACTTTCTTACTGTTCTTAAATTAATTTTTTAATACTGAAATTAAAATTTTTATACTAGAAAGTAGGTTTAAGAAGCAGTAAGAAAGCCGTCCCAAACGAAGCCTAAAAGAGCTGCAGATTCCTCCTTATGTTCGAGAAAAAATATATATTGAGAATTCTCAATATTTTAAATATTAAAATTCTTCAAAATGAGGTGCATTACCTCAATAAATGTATAAATGAAGACTTTTTATTCAAAATTGATCTGTTTATTCATATTAGAAGATCTAATTCTATGATATTAAAAAAATAAATTAAATAAAATCCGAATGTAATCATTTAAAAGCTTTATCCAAATGGCATTTATAAAATAATGATGATTATTATCCCTTACAAATTATATCTATGTGTGTT